TTATGTGCAATGTTGTTCCTAATTATATTTATATGATAGATTTGTGGTTTAGATGGATGCTGGCTTTGTTTTCCAGGCCTTGCCTGTTCCTGAGAGATCCGGGTCATCCCTGGATGATCTTTGGCTGCTTGTGGAGATGGACACCTTTGGCAATGTGAGTGCAGTTTCACTCCTGGTCCTCATAACAATGCAGCTGAAAACAACGAGGGCCAGATCGCCTACCTCGGTCTCTCGGAGTCTCTAAAGGTGCTGGTACAGTCTGACCATTGACATTTAGCATTCCTCCGCGCTGCCTCTGGGTCCTCAACAGGGGATTGAGGGGTGCAGAGGCCAGGGCCCAGTTCTCAAGGGTAAAAACAAAAAGCCTCTTGAAAATCCCAAGGAGTTCCCATGATCCCAGGAAAGACCTCAATCCGACCTGCGCTAGATTCCATTCCACGGATTAATCGGGGGAAAAAAATGCATATTTGTCTGTTTGAGTCCGTCTCCTGCCTTCTATTTTTATCAGTGGCATTAAAACTTCTGACATGGTTATTTGGCAGGAAAAAAAATCTGAAGCTTGGCCGTTTATGTTCCCATAAAGCTGCCATGGCCTTCACTGGAATAAAGTCACAGCAAAAAGCTTGTAGTGACATTTTATGGTAGAAAGTTTTCAAAGTCATTTCTCAAGGTTTTTCCCAGCAACATACATAATCTGCTAGCATCAAAGGAGCACACATGCATAAATAATTGACTAATTCACTTAAAGGGGGCCAGCGTGGATTAATTAAGCCTGAATACTAATTATGTTTTCTGTCGGCGGCGACTGACGCAGTTGTTGTTCAGAAGAAACTGTTTGGTGGGTCACGAGTACGGTGCACACATATAAGACCGCTCTATAAATTAAGACGCTTTGAATGCGTGGACTGCCTTTGAAACCAAATGCTAACCTTATCTGTGGTCCTTTAAATGAAGACGCTTTGTAGATTTTTCATTTTTCTCATGACATTTCGTTGATATGTCTGTTTTAATGAGGTTTACAGGCACTTAGCTGATTTATTTCATGTTTTTGTTTATTTCAGAAAATATTCATTTTTAGAATGCGTCATTAAAAACATAAATTGCATTTAAAGCTTGTTCACATCTGATAAAAAGCAAAGTTTTTTCTGGAGCAGGGTCCCTGAGAAACCGTCCTTTACTTGTTATTCTAAAATACGATCAATCACTCCGATGGTTCCAACAAAATGACACGTTGCTATGGTGTGGCCTGTCATCCACATGAAATGAACGATAAACAACACCAAAAACAATTCTTTCAAACATTCTGACCAGAGAAGAGATCTAAAAATTCTTGGTTGTCCGCATTTGCTTGTGGACGTAAATATCCACGGTTCTGCAACTCTGACATCATATATATGTGTTTACAGAAAAAAACATGGATGCCCTCAGAGTGGTGTTGGTATTAACGAGTGTACAGGCGCCTTAGCTATCCTGCCTCCATATTGGCTCACACACACAAGCCTGGCTGCATGTTCAATGCTTTGAGGAAATGAAGGAAGGGAGATGGAAAGTTATTTTGATGAGAGAGAATTTGGGGAACCTTTGCTACCTAGAGGCTTGACATGTGCTTAACAACTCACATACAAATTTGGGTTTGAAGCAGGGGCGGCGTTAGGCCCGGCTACTTGGGCTGAAGCCCCGGATCTTTCATGATAAGCCCCGGATCTAAATCGCGGAAGTAACATGCAGTACCAACGTCCAACAGAGAGGGCGCAGCTGGCAGTAGTTTGTATACAGCCTGCCTGAGCCTCCACCACTGAAGAAGAAGCCCTTCAGCAGCCGGCTTCTTCTACAGTGAAGATGGACATAAGGACGTTTTTTTAGACAAAAAGTACAACGACAGAACCCCAGCTTTGATGAGACTGGTGTTGACTCAGGTTTGTGAGTCTTATTTGAAAATTTGAAAATATTTGTTGTGCTGCTGGTTTGCCTAAAGTTAGCTGACTATCAGGTAAAGTTGTTGGAGAAAGAAAGGGAATATTTACTATCATCTCACACTAAACACTAACAGGAACAATACTCTGCCCTGAATATGCTGAATATGTGGCTTCAGATTAAAAATTATGTGGTACAAAACAAATATATATGATGTTGACTAGTGCGTGTCACATGTGTGCGCGCGTACGTGCGTGTGTGTGTGCGAGCGCGCGTGTGTTAAGCCCCGGATCTTCTTCAGTCGTAAATCCGCCCCTGGTTTGAAGGCATGCGTTTTTCTTTGATGAGCGGTGGGAGGTTATTCGGATTTCAAATACCTAGCTAGGTGTGTAAATGGCCCACGTTTAACAAGCAGGCTGTAACTGAAAATGGTCAACTACCCCTGTTTCCTGCATTAGCCAATGAAAGACAATAGATAAGGAAACCCTCGGGTCCAAAAATGCCACACAGATCTTCATCACACTTCATAGACTCCCCCATCGTGGCTCACGATGGGAAAGTTGCGTTGATGTAACTCTCAGATAGAGCAGCGAGCATCTCGGCGAGGAAAAGCTAACCATTAGCATTAACAACTCCACCACACGGCAGAGCAACTTCAGGATGGTGTTGTTTGTAGAGGTAAAACAACAATGTTGCAGTGAGAACGAAGGTGGTGGAAGAGTTGTGTCACTGTTAGCCAATCAGAGGTGAGATGTTCAAATATAAATAATAATGAGCAAGGCTCTAAATTCAGCTGTTTTCTGCCCCTCCTCTGGCTAGCTTCTACATCCTGAAGCAGCAGCGCCAGAGCTTTTGTTCCCACAAAAACAAGTCATTCGTTTAGAGACCACAGCGGATTTTATGAAAAAGGAGTAGATGAGAACTTTTAATCCAAATCAAAAGACATATCCTTATCCATGTCAGGCCTGAGAAAACTTTTACTTCCAGAAAAAAAAAAAAAAAAAGAAAACTCACCCCGTCTAGAGCCACGTAGCTTAAAGTGCTTCGGTGAGGATGAGTTTTCGCTGTCTGCTCTCCCCTGGTGAGCGGCGTGCACACACAGGGACAGGGCCTTGTTTACAGCTGTGTGAGGAAGAAAACAGGCAGACGTAAATGAGGGTTGACGGTTTCATGAAGCACAATTGGTTGACGGCAGATTCAATGTGACTGGGCTGAACTGGGCGATGATCCGTACAGTATGCAAAATTCACTTTCTAGCTGGTCTGTGCCCACCAGCCCCTAGCAGCGAGCGGTCTTCCCCAAAGCCCTTCTAGCTATGCCTTTGAATGCAACAAGAACTGAACAAGGCATTGTTGTGCTCGATTCCTTTTGACAACAATCACATTTAAAAGAAAGAAGGGAAAATAAGTGGTGAATTTCTTTTGACACCACTTATAAATGAATTTTCTTCTCATGTTGACTGCAAAGCACACATTTTGAGACCTTCACGGGAGAAATGGGCGCACTTAAAAGACGCCGACGCCCTCAGACAACACACAATCAGGGATAAATAGCGCTACTGTAAACGTTGCATTAGACCTGAATATCTTGGCACACCATTTCGGCCTAGCACCATCAATTTAGCATATTTGTGTGCTGTTTTACAAGAGAACGGTCTCACGCTGGGGAAAGTTACTGTCACGGCTTCTATGTTTCATTTCTGCCTATGTCTGTTTCACCAACTTCTGTGACACAATTTTTCCTCTGGAGTAAACTGTTGTCATTTTAGAAGTGCAACATCTGCATGCTCCATCCACTTAGGACATATCAAACAACAAGCTTTGTTTGGACTGAGGACATTGTCAAAGTGAGAGGGGTCCGGAGAGCAAATCGAGAGCCGCGCTGTTTCTTCTAGCTCTTAAAACAGAGCGGATTATGGTGGGCGGATTAGATTTTAGTGACAATGACCTGAAGTGTTGAACGCCCAACCCCGCTCCTCGAGAGCTGCTTTAGACGTTCCTCTGCTTCAAAACACCCTTCTGCACAACTTAAGGATAAGCTGAAGAGTGATTTAAAAACAGTTTTGTTTTTATTATTACGTGGATTTCATAGCAAGGAAGTGCACTTTTAAAATAAGTAAGCACAGAAAAAACAGAGAAATGCAAAACAGGAGAAAAAAAGAAAACCTAAAAGCATTTTAAACCTTTTTCCTCCATCTTTAAAATGCGTTTTTAGTCTTTGCTGCATTGTTTTTATTAATTTAGGGCAAGAAAAACTATAATCTAAATTAATAAAGACATAAAATATCAGTATCATTAAAAATAACTTCTGAGTCTAAATTGAGAACGTTCATGTATTCATTAACCTTTGAATGATTGTTTTTTTATGCTGCACCTTCTGCACTGTAACTGCTCATCCTTTTACTTTAACTGCCTTTATTCTGATTCTGAAATCTGAAGTGAGTTTGTGCTTTTGATTAGATCTAAATGTGTTTGTGTATTTAAATTCTTCCGTCACATTTATTTAAATGGTTGTGCTATTCTCGCTAATGGAAATTGCTTCAGTGTATGAAACGGGCTATACAAGTGAAGCTGCTTTTCCTACTGGTGAAAAACTGATCATAGGTCATAATTTTTAACATTATTTAAACATCCTCATATTCATATTTTACACAGATGTTATGCAACTTTTTCATATTTGTAAATAATTCTCATGAGCCAGTATGTTCTAAAATGACTCGTTACAGGATTAATGACATTCTGTGGCCAGAGTACCGCACTTGCAACTTCAGAATGCTGCTCTGGTCCCTGTTAACTTAACTGGCACTGTAGTCGGCTTCCAGCATGCTTTAGCTCAAGAACACCGCTGATTTGTTTCCTTTAGTGATGAACCGTTCTTGTAGACACTAGGGAAGGCTGAGGAGACGTTTCAGCTATTATATTAAAAAGACAAATGCACGGCGAGGATATTCACTTTTGCTTCGACCACAGATACTAACGGACACTAGGGGGTGCTAAAAGCAAGAAAAACTGCTTAGTATCCCTTTAATGTTGCGCAGTTGTTTAAGGTGAGTTTAAAGCCTATTTTAGGCAGATATAGGGACTAAGATGTGCTTCAGCCATCGGTTGACCTGCCAGGTAAAGTTTTTTATGGATCTATCGTGTGAATGCATGACAAGCCATAATTTGTAACTTCAAAGATATTCTAGAATAAAGGTGAAAAACAAAACTGAGCAAGATGCTGTTCGTTGTTGGGACAAAGAGTTTGACCCTTGAAATGTTTCAAATCTAAAATATATGGAAAAGTTATTAAATTAATACTTAATATTTAATCTATAAATGGTTTTATTCATAATGGCAGGGTTATGATATTTTAGGTTATTAACTACGTTGTGTAGATTATTTTAATTACTGCTTTAGTTTACAACACACGACTGGTAAAATGGATTAAATGGAGATTTTTGTTTTTAATTAGAATAGAATGACCTCATTATTTCCTCATATTCTAACAGGGAGTTTCATAATAAGCGCTGGGACTCGAAGGATACAGAATTACTGCAAAACAAATGAAAAAAAGTTGTGATTGTCAAGAAAAATGAAAAGGAAAAGATGGAGAGACTCGCCACAAATGACACAAATTTGTATCTCCTCTTCGGTTCAGTAGAGTATGTACAAGTCACAGAGAATGACTGGTACCCAGTCGAAACGAAAATGGTTTTTAAATAAGTTACAATTAGATAAGCATTAATCTCAGTGGTATAAATGAATGTCTTGCTGTAGGGCTTGTTGAATGTAAAAACAGATTTACACACACACACACACACACACACACACACACACACACACACACACACACACACACACACACACACACACACACACACACACACACACACACACACACACACACACACACACACACACACACACACAAAAATCCTCTCACCAGATTGGTCTGGAAGTCGTTCTCTGCTATTTTAATTGCTCTGTCATTTAAAACAGAAATAAGCCCCCGCCTCCCCTACACCCCACCGCCAAACATTCTGCCCCTTGATTTTTCCTTTGAAATTAAATATTGTATACAAATACATGCTGTTCATGGGCATGAGCACAGTTCATCACTGGAATCTGCATAAAACAATGCTTAAAAGGCTCCATGCGCTTTCAGCTACAGGACTCTTTTATTTGGGACACGCACATGTAAACAGATCAGTAACAACTTTGGTTCATGTTGTTCTGCTCATCCGCAGAAATGAGGGAAATGTGGGAATGCAGTTGTTTCACATTTCAAAGAGAGCATTCTCCATTTTTATAAAGGAGGTAAAGACCACCTATGATGCTATTTTATAAATGGACGCTGTGATTAAAGCAAAACCTTCACGTTTTTTCAAGTAAATGGAGGCGATGAAGCGCCGTCGTGCGACAAAACACAATATTCCAGGAGATAGCACTGTTGCCTCTTCACTGCAGAAACACAGGAAGTATTTTAATGTGACCTTCATTACACATTCACGTCAACTTTTCTTATCTATTTATGACTAAATTCCTTTCCACTCCTGTTGTTCAATTAGTGCTTGACCCCTTTAGCGGCGATGTAAATTAAATGACATTTCAGTGTCGTCCCATATTTAAAATACTGCGTTAGTTGCGGATCATAAATGATGATCTTCATTCTGCAGCTAATTTATTCATTTAACAATTTCCCTCCAGAAGTTACAGCAGAAGGCTCTGCAGCAACCTAAGCAGAAGAAATCCAAGTCGGCTGAATTTCTGATGGGTGAGTCCTGCTTGATGAGTTATTGCTCATAATTTGTGTAAGGATTAATTAACTAATTACAGACAAATGGCTTTGGGCTAAATTTTGCTCCTGCTTGTCAGGGCGCAATTTGTAATTATTTTAATCATTTCTTCTTTTTTTTATCCTCCTCCTGCAAGATTCTGATTTAATTTTAACCTAATTGTGTTTTAGCATCATTTGAGGAGGATGCACTTGAACAATTGGGAGCAGGTGAAATCATCAGCAGAATTTGGTTTTTAATACATTTGTTGTGTTTTTTTTTTACGTGTCTGAATCGTTTTGACCTAGCTGTTTGTATTGGCCTACACGCCACAGCTTTTTGTTTATTTTTTTTGTTTATGTTTATTTTATCAGGGAGAGAAGAGCGAACTGCTGCAGTGGGCATAGAAAATCCAGCTTTCAGTGGAGGAGGAAGCGCCGAGCTTTCCGTTTCTCCGAGTTGGCTGGGGAGAAAAATGCGAGGTGACAGGCCAGATAGCACCCTTGCAGCTCACCAAAAAAAATCGGAGCTGCAAGCCCCTGCCAAGGAAAGAGGTGAAGCTTCATTCTTCATTAGGCTCAAATCTGTTGACAGTAGATGTGTTCCTGATCTAACCTTTCTCTCGCTCCATGCGAGGGGCCCTTGGTCCTGGCATTCCAAAGCAAGCGTGTCCAAACAAGCAGCCCTCGTCTAACTTCTCCTTGCACTGGAGAACGCTGCAGTAGTGGGTGTTCTATCTCTATCTGGAAGTACCCTCGACACAATCAGCCTTGACTCCCACTCTCGGCTACATGCCTTGTGGTGGGCTGGAGTCATAGGAGAGTGCATTTACATATGCTACCGTGTTACCGAGCCGATCCGCTGTCTGTGCGGTGTACTCACAACACCCCCGAAACACGGCTCAAGGCCAATCAGGCATACCAACGTGCCCCCTTATAATTCGGTGTGTCAGGGAGAACTCTTGAGGAATGGGATTGGAAATTAGGATGCGTTCAAGGTTGCGAGCGTGCCAGCTTTCGCAGGAATGAGTCACATTTTAGATTCTTGATTTAATGCGGCTTATTTTGCTGTAGCTCCTAATGGTTAGTAATCACGACCATTAATGCCCATCCATCCATCCATCCATCCATCCATCCATTGTCTGAGCCCGCTTTGTCCACGTGGGGTCGCCGGGGGGGGCTATCTCCAGCGGTCAATGGGCAATCAGGCGGGGTACACCCTGGACAGAGAGCCAGTCCATCGCAGGGCAACACAGAGACACACACACACACACACACACACACACACACACACACACACACACACACACACACACACACACACACACACACACACACACACACACACACACACACACACACACACCAATTAACCTATCAGTCATGTTTTTGGACTGTGGGAGGAAGCCGGAGGACCCGGCGAGAACCCACGCATGCACAGGGAGAACATGCAAACTCCATGCAGAATGATCCCAGGCTGGGAAGCGAACCCAGGACCTTCTTGCTGCAAGGCAACAGCTCTAACCACTGTGCCACCGCGCAGCCCCCCATCAATGTCATTATATTTAGTTGCACAGGGCACAGAAATGCACTTACATGTGAGAAAGTGGCTTATTTTACTTAAAAACTTGTTTAAAAGTTTTGCGGTTATTCTCCATCATAGATGAATGCATTGAAGCAATTAGGCGTTATTATAATTAGAAGTGTGGCATTTCTAATGTCAATAGATGAATAATAAAATGTTCAAATTTTAGTTGTGTTAATTTAAAAGTGCAGTTTATTAAGTATTCAACTTTCCAAAATTCATTTTTAATCCAGTAAAATCAGCCAAAAGAAAATAATATTTAGGTTTTTATTACTTTCATTATTTATAATTTTCTTACATGTTAGTTTTAGATGGTTTAACGTCAATTTCTCCAACATATGTGGTACATTAATAATGCAGTTTTGAAGCATGGAATTATTTTTGGAGCAATCTCGTTTTATTTGGAAAAAAACAATATTTTTGAACTTTATCTTTCAATAGACTCAATGTAATGTGCAAATGTTCAATTTTAATGTAAGTTTTGAATGTCAGTTAAAACTAAATCACAAAGAATTTGTTTATTTGAAACATAAAATCCCAGATTAACATTTTGTAGAAAAATAATTGATTATTGGAATATGCAAGTTTTCGTGCATATAATGATTAGAAAAATGCATTTTTGTTATTGTGTTTGTACATTTTTCATGGGTATCCAACATCTTAAAACTAATTAAATTTTATTATTAAGGGAAAATGATAAATAAGATTAAAAAACGCCTTTTTAAATGTAAAAAGTTACTAAACTAAAAGATCGTGGCTCTAAACAGCAAAATCCAAATAAAAAAACATGAAATAAAAAAAAGCAAATAATAAATCTAATAAACAACAGAAAGATTAATAATGAAGTTCTATTAAGCTCTGTGATTTCTGCACCGGTGCTGAAACATCCAGCAGCAGATGCAGATCGCTCCTTTTTCTGCAAAACTTTGATTTTTCACCCGAGCACATTTCCTTATCTCTCAGTGACCGTTGAACGCCATCTCTGGCTGGAGATAAATGCTTGATATTGTGCATGTAGGAACAGATAATTGAAATTTTCATTACAGGGATGAATTGGAGGGCAGCCAGACTATTTAGGTAAATCACGGCTATGACTCAAAAGGCGATTCACGACGCTGCTACCATTATGCAAATTTGTATTTGAAAAAAGGGTTTCATAACCTCAGAGCTATTTGCGGAGAAATTGTTCAAACTCGCTGCTAACAGTGTAGAGGGATTTAACATGTGAATTTCACAGTCAATTTATGGTGCCATTGACGAGTCACACGGCTGCCTCTGAGTTAATAAGTATTTCCGTCGGAGTGTTTAACTTTGACAATGAAAAACCTCATGCAGTCATCTCATAAGAGCACAAAAGCAGAGAAAAGGATCCCAGTGAACTTCTTGGGCAGACGTGCCTCCTCTGATTTCCCAGCCCTGACATCCTCAGACTCCTTTAAAGTCAGCCCTTGTGTGGAACGCATAACCAGATTTAATGCACCGTGCAATTTTTTACCCTGAGAAATGCAAGTGAAGCAATTTAGACCGGAGTGAAATGTCCAAGGTTTGTAATGAGAATAATTTGAGTTTAAGAAAGCTGCTTGGTGGTGTGTACTCTTAACAGAAAGGGCCCCGGAGACATTTCATTCCCATAAACTGTGTGGAGCAGACTTGATACCCATAGGTCAGCGATTGCTAATAAGAAGTCAATGAGACATGAGCTAAGGGGTTGTTTTCTTTCGGATCTGCTCCTCCAAACCCGCCTGGTCCTCTAGGCCACTGACCTCGGAGTATTTAGAAAGTATTGTCTTTGAAATTCCAGGTACTTTCAGGCTTGTAGACTTTCTCATTAGTTCCTTTTGAACATTGCAAACATATGGCAGTCGTATTTAAGAGATTGCCTGCCTTGACCTTTTGCGGCATGCTAATTAGGCCCCAGAGCACTGCAGGCCGGAGAGAGGTGCTCTGAGAAGCCCGGCAGTCTTTTTCTCACTCTCTCTCTCTCTCTCTCTGCCTCTGAACTTCTGTCTCATCTCGCCTTATCTGGTACCCGCCACCGCCACTAACCTTCCACGGTGTGAGTTTCAGAATTAAAATTGAGCTTCATGTGCTTCTAATAACCACTAACCTAAACCTGCGCAACCCCTCCACGCCTCGCCATTCCCTCCTCCAACTCCCAACCCCTCTCTTTCTCATTCACCACTCTCTCTCTCTCTCTCTCTCTCTTTCCAAAGGAAATCAACGTGCCCGAAATTACTTTGACCCACCATCGGCGGAGCAGACAGACCCAAGGCAATGCGCGGTGGCTGGGGTCAGCGGCGAAGATGAGCTGGAATTAAGTATGCCATTCTCTGTCATAATGGTTCTCCTCGGTTCATTAAAGCGAGGTGAGAGAGATCACCGGTAGCAGGCTGCCATTTGTGATGGCGGGACATTCTATGTAAATACACCAAGCTACGGCACCACTAGATTGGCTACCCAACTCGTTGTCATTGAAGAAGGTCACGTATCGTTGGTCAGTCTTCATTTCACCGAAGCGTTCCCCTCTCCCCAGTCAGAAGACACACGCAGAGCCACATCAATAGTTTGCAGACCCCTCCTAAAGTAGGCCCATTAGAAACGAGCTCTTGGGAGCAAAGTAATATGCATGTTATAATGAATCCTGGCTATTAATGGAGGAGCCATTTTCACCTGTATCTTTTGGATATCTCTGCCTTGTAATATCAAAGGATTCACCAAGTCACATCTCATCACACGATGACAGGCTAGCTAACAGGCAAGTTAATGCTCCTGCTTCATTACTCCCACCTGCATCCACCCTATTTCCACCCCTCTCTGATTTGGCTAATATCTCCGGTTTGCATGCTGAGATGTGGTTTAGATCGACTTCTCTGATAAGGAGGAAGTCATTTAGAAAATGAGAAATCTGTGTGATTTTCCACCTCTGTTAAAAACATAATCATTGTATAATTTCTATGATTTGTAGCTATGATGAAAGCAGATGAAAGCAGACTGTATGAAAGGATGGCGGCATTGTTGGATGATGATGACACGTTTATAGACCTACCCGGTATGTATCCTTACCTGACTGAGCTGACATTTTTGGGATAATACATACACTTAAATACCCTAATTGTTTATGTTTTTAAGACTGAAAATAATTCCATAACAGCTAGACAATCAAAAGGTACCAAAGTTACCAAACGTTTGACACTGTAGACGCCGCAAACCGACCAGATAAAGACGAGATGCACGGAACAAAGAACAGACCAGAAAAGGACCCTCACTGGTGCTTTCCAAGCACAGCCATTGTTTCACAGTAGGCGTGCCTTTTCTCATTAGCTCAGTTTCATTTCAACGCATGGAGGCAACCCTGCATTGGTTAAAGCTTAGCATTGTCTTGGGTGAAGACAGCTCCACCAGATCCTGTTGACATGAAGCACATCGCCCTTGTAATTCCAGCGCACAAGTGATGGGTTTAGGCCCGCTTCAGCACGGTGGATCCGAGCAGGCTCGCATTATTTTGCCATTGTTTTGGATTTAGCTGTACCACTGAGATTAGTGGCCCCATTCATTGTCTTGGAATGTTCATAAAATCCCACAGAGAATGCAAAGAGGATCTCGGATTAACAATTCCACGCAAGAGGCTGACAGCAAAAGAGAGGGAGAGAGCTTGTAGTCGAGTGCCACTGCGGTGACTGCCAGTTAGCACTTTGCTAAGCTACAATAGACTTCAAAACAATTACTTTATGTAGTTGTAGGTCTGCCTCCCACCGGTACCACTGCAAGTGTTCTCTGCAGAACTGCTGTATGTCAGAAATGATCCTGATTTTTAGTAACTGCTCTCTTTTTATTTATTTATTTGTTTTTTGGAGTCTGCAAAGAAAAACATCTTTCTTGAAAATCAACAAAACAGAAATGTTTTATATTTTGCATAAAACTTGTTTCTTTCTGTCTAAGATGATCACTTCCTGGCTTCGTTAGCATTGGTTCAGAGATGTTTAGACACAAAATTAGAGCTTTTTATTCCAGTTTTCATCAAGATTTAACAAACTTTTGTGTGAAAAGTGTTAGAAATGACAGCAGATTTGGCTGGTAAACATATCGCATATCACGCAGAATGCTTTCTAACATAAAAGAGCAACGCATAACAAAAATAACATATACTCCACAGAAGCAATAAGATATAAAAAGCTTTTCACATTTGCACAATTGTAAATCAAACGGATGGATTTTCTGCATTCTTTGTGAAACCATAGTCCCGTCTCACTCTGATTAATGCATGAATCTATCTAGATTTATTCTTTTAAGAATATTCATGCAAGTTGCTGTTTTACTACATCAGCCTTAAAGCTTTACACATGTTGGCGCATCAGCATTCGCTTCATTCACATGTACCCATTCATCAGCGTGTGTGCTATTCTACCCAGTTTTGTGAATTTCTGCGGATGTTCACTGATGCGTATCTTTCCAGGTACGCTTCAAGCCTCCAGAGATGAGGAGGTGTTGGAGGTGAAGGCAGGTGATCTGGTGCTTCAGCGGCAACGGCAGCTTCACAGTGGTGGAGGTGCCTGGGGCACCAGGCCCTCCCAGGCCAGCGCCATCGCCAAAGCCCAGGCTGAGGGTAGCGTTTGGCTGGGAGGAGAGACTGGACTCCAAGCGGGGAGGATGGTAACGGGCAGAGAGCGCGCTGTAAAAAGTAACGCTATTCTTTTATTTGGTTCAACGGATTGATTTCTTGTGCAGCCATGATGGCTTTTTGTCAGTAGAATTTTACAGTTTTAAACCAACTAAAGCAAAAATGCACGTTTGCGTTAAGTGTACAGTGTGGCAAATGTGGTTAATTGATGGAAAACACAATTTTGTTTGAAATATAATTTTATGGTCGTTACTTTACGCTGCAGTCATGTTCCAGTTTAGTTAAACGTAACGGGGATTTTGATGCCACGAGCTATGTCTTGCAGCGAGGCCGGCTGAGGAAGCGATCCCCTGCTACACCCAGCAGCTGAGGGAACGCATGCAGCCTGACATGATCACGCTTGGCAGCCTTTCACTGCAGCAGGTCAGGGCTACAAAGAGGAATATCTGTGTCATCATCCCATATTCACCAGCACATCAGCCGTGTCCATTACGCTGTGTATCAGCGCTTTGGCTAATGGACACGGAGTGTGTGCATGTGTGAGTCTACATGGGTCTTTTTGTGTGTATGGGACTCGCTCAAGCTCTCTTTCATTTCACATTCTTTCTCTTTAAGCTTTTAAAAAAAAATGCACTCATTTTCACCTAAGATGGTGTTAATCTCAGCTGTGAAAATCCTTTTCACGTTTACGGTATTCCAGAGGTTAGATCCATCCTCAGCATTTAAACCGGTGCCACGTAGAATATTCTCACACAATTAATTTATCTGCAGCGACTGTTTTATGCTGCCTTTTAACTTTGTTGTGCATTATTATGCACATTTGTCTCTGATAGAAGCAGAATTTCCTTGGTTCTTTATGAGTCTTACGGTCCTTTCAGGACAAAAACAGAGCATGACAACGTTTTATTTCTCCAGCGAGGGAACGAGGATTTTGTAAACTAGCTTTCAGATGTGCCGCCTCTCTGAAGAAAATAAAAGAAAGAGGTTACGTGTTCTCATTCTGCTGGTTTGAAGAGGGATGGAAGTGGATAGGGCTTTGTCTCGGGAAATGTAGACATTAATGCAAATGTAAACCACTTCTATTCACCGTATTTTTAGTTCTAATCTCATTTGAAAAGACGTAACGAGTGCAATCTGAAATATAAATGCACAACAATGTTTCAATGTCACTTGGAAGTCACTGCAACAGATGACTCACCCTCTCAGAGGTGGATAATCAGTGGATCTACAGCACTGAACTCACAGGATCAGCAGATCTACTCCTAAAATATGTGTTTCCAAACCCACCTCCGAATGAAGACGCATTATCCACCAGAGATTTCACATCTATTTTAAAAATGATAGCTCTTTTCTTTTCTTCTCCCTCTGTTCGGCAAGACGCCGTCACTTAGCGGTGTCAGTGTGTCTGAATGGGGTGTGTGAATGTGCTGACTGAATGTAAAACCGGCAGAAAGACTCATCGAATGCTGTATGTCTTTAGGGTCTGGCTCGGTGTCGATTGCCTGGAGATTGCATTACAGTTTGTGCGTAATTCTGCCATTGTGGTGCAATGTACTGTTTCAGAAAGCGGCATCCATAGAAAGTGTGCGTTTGTATTTATACGTGTTTTTAGCAGCCGGCTCAGAAGGGAACCCAGAAGAGGAGTGAGTGGGCAAGCAGGAAAAAACGACTAATGGCCGTCTTCAGTGGCAACGCCGAGGTAAAGGCACATTCACACAAACAAATGGAAATATAACTTTTTATGTAGCCCATACCCGTACAAAATTCCTAAAGAGCAGGTTCACTGAAAACACCTGTTTCTATCTGTTCTTTTTAAACATACGATTGGTCACTCTGTTCACGTGCAGCCTGAGTGTGAAAATAGTCTTCTACCCCTATTTCCTGCCAAAGACGCAGAAAGCAGAACAACGGGAAAACAGATGCGCTTGTTTCAGGAATTAGCAGAATGCTACTTCGGAGGAGGGCTTAACATGGCAGGTTTTGGAGTCCCAATATGTGGAAGTCTCGCCTGTGATCGGAAAACAGCAACATAACTCTACCAGTAACTCTGCTCTGTGGCGTGGATGTTTTATCTCCACAAGTAACACAAGCTTGGAGGAGTTCTGCTGTGTGGTGGAGGTGCTAATGCTAACAGTTAGCTTCTACTAGGTGAGACCTTCTCCGCTGTTTCCTGGTTGCTACACCAACAACAGTCGTGAGTCAAGATGGGTGAGTTCATGAATGGTAATTAACAGTGTGACGTAGATCTGCCATGATTTTCAAATCCTAGAGTTTCTATCTGTCTATTTTCTATCAGAAACTAATGCGGGAGATAATTTTCATGTTCGGCCTGCATGAAAAACAGAGTGACCGATTATAATCAAAAATAATAATACAAAAAAAAATTTTTCATGGTCCCAAACCTTTTTAAATCAGAATTTTTTTTCCCTAAAGGATCAACATTCTCAAATAATCTCCAGCGAGTCAACGAGACCAGTACCCAGGGTAAACACGCTGTTTCAGGGGTAAGAAAAGCTCCTTTTTAATAGTTTTATCCATATGGAAAATTGATGTTTCATGACTGTAATCATTAATTGAGCGAAAAGCATTTGTATTCCTACTGACACTCAAGACTCATATGTCCTCCACACGGCCGCCCTGTGTCGACAGGCATTGCATTGTGGGTAATATGACTCCAGGGCGCAGAAATCCGTCCATGTCATTGGGCTCGGAGGTGCATCAATTCTTGCTCCATCCGCTTTAGTCAGACGTCACGTCTTGCGGCCAGTTCCCCGCGGGCAATCAGCTTAGCATGCTTAAGTTTTTAGCAATTATACAGACTAACGTGCTGGCCGGCATGATAAAAATCAAGAAACCACTGCTGTCTTGCGCCGAGCTGCGTCGTGGGTGGGAGACGGACACCAGCCCTGTCAGATGAATGTGGATGGGAGTTTAGCGAGATGACCTCCTCCGACAGCCTTGTACCCTGTAAATTCCTTCTGATATCAATAGTGGGTGGCTATTAGACATGGGAGACTTTCTATGCATCACCCAGGGCTACATCTGCCTGAAACTGAATGAGAAATTATTTCACTTTTCTCACCCTATGTCTACAAACAGAGGGGAGGGAAAATATGAAGAAATGCAGAGCTGACTTGTGGTTTTTGCAACGTTTGTTTCCACTGCTTCTGATTTAATGGAGGTTGAGTAATTGCATTAGGAAGCACATTGTGCCTCGTTGTGAACTGATGAAAGCATGTGTAATACTTTTGATAGGCAAACAGAGGGGAGGGAGAGAAAGGGAAGGAGCGATCCGTCGGCAGCCTTTGATGTCGAGCATTTATTTGCTGAATTATCCTGCCTTTAACAAGCATCTTATCCCCAGTCACAGTGAGGCCAGGGCCCCTGTGATATTGCTTTATTTTGAGGAATTAAGAGAGGTGACGAGGAGACGGCGCAAAGCAACCGCTTATTACATTACCACTGATAAGATTGAAAGGCGAGAAGAAAAAGACGTGAGGAGAGGCGCAGAGAGAGAGAGAGAGAGAGAGAGAGAGAGAGAGAGAGAGAGAGAGAGAGAGAGAGAGAGAGAGAGAGAGAGAGAGAGAATGAAAAAAGTGTTTTGTTGTGGTGTTATTAGATAAAAAAAGGGGTTAGACTCACGCCTCTGTGTTTACATTGCAGCAAAAACATAGAAGAACCGTTACCCAGAATGCTCGGGGAAGGCCGGGAAGCAGCAACGGCCGGATTAAAACCGATGACCGAGCTCCCAGGATGCTCAGCGCTGTGGCCATCGTGGAAAGTAAGGTTGGATGAATTGACGAGAGGAAACAGACAATCACATGGGTGTAAACAGGAAGTGACACACACAGTAATCTCTGAGAGGGTGGTGTCACGAGAGGCGATATTGATCCTGAGGTGTTGACAAATCATTAAAAAAGACAGTGTTGTTAGAAATAATACAGCCAAATGATGCAACTGTGTGAAATGGTACGACGAATGGGACCTATGAGAGAATGGAAAATTAAACATTTCTATTTACTTGCTTTTGAAAGGCCAAGTTCACAGAGAAACAGATTTTTATTAGTTATTTTTTTAAATATGATCAGTCACTCTGAGTTTAACATGCAGGCTTAATGTGAAAATAGTCTTCTAGCCTCATTTCCGGGATTAGCCGCCGATAGAAAATAGAAGCGGAAATGCTTGGATTAGAAAAGCCTGTGACTTTTGCATGTCACAACGTCAAATTAGCATTCATGGACTCACTCTTCTTGGCTCATAACGATTAAGGCTGTTGTTTATTTAGCATCCAACAGACAGCAGAGCACATTTTGGCTAGTAGAAGCTAACCGTTAGCATTAGTAACTCCACAACATGGCAGAACTCAGTCAGGCATGTGTTATTTGTGGAGAAGAAACATCAACATTGCAAAGCAAAGAGAGTCAGTGAGAGTCATGTTGCTGTTAGCCAATCAGAAGTGAGCTGTCCAAATATAAGACTAACTAAGACTCCAAATCCTGCTGTCTTCTGGTCCCCTCTCCTCTGGCTCACTTCTAGTTCCTAAAACAGGAGCGACAGAGCTTTTTACCCACAAAGATCGACTCACGAGACATTAATTTATACTAGACCACTGCAAATGTGTTGAAAAACCAAGTGAACTTGGTCTTTAATAATTTCACTGGACAGAAAGGCAACTAAGCAACAGAGTTTTTCCTTTAGCATGCAAGACTTTGTGTGAACTTCTTCTTTAGTTTAAGGAATACAAGTAGGTGGACATCTTTTTCAAAAGATAAAACAAAAGGCAACAGAGAGCAGGAGAGGGGAAAAGCGAGTGTGAGGAGCAGGGGGCTGCGGCGTTAGCAGCTGTAGGAGTGTGCTGTTGTGTTGCATCTGGGGATGAGCCTGCCATGCCACCATGCTGGCTTAAAGATGTAATGAATCTTCAGTCGGGGGCTTTCCTTCCAGGGTGACAACTGGCTTTGAGGAAGGTTGTAAATGCAGGGGAAATTGTGGTATAATTCCTCAGACTGGCGTTTGTGCCCCCCAGTCACCATTCGATTATCTCCCAAATTGCTGTGTTTCACTGAGATAAAGATTTTTTATGGCTTGCTGACTTGAAACAACTAGCACAGTCAGAATAGGGGGCAAAGCAGGAAGAGGCAAAAAGAAAAAAAAAGAGAGCGAGCAGCGATGGCCAAACCTGCCACGCATAGTAATTTCTTTTGGTAAATGACAAAATCTTTGTTTATGTGACATTTCCTGAAAATCACTGCAGCGAGATGAATCTGAAATATAAAATGTCACATTTGGCATGCAAAACTATGAAAATATATTTCTGTGCAAAATTCATGGAGGCATTTAATTTAGAACGTGTTTAATAACTAAAGCAGCCTGCATCAGTAATCCTGCCCGGAGGTCCCGAAAAGATTGTCATATTTATTCTCTCTTTTCTTCACCCCCTCCTTCGTTCAGAAGCCAAAAAATTTTAAGGGTAAATGTTTATTGTTAATTAAGATTTACTAATTAAAATGAAAATAATTAACACGAAAGCTTAATCTCTGAATATTAGCCCGTACTTAGAAAGAAAGGAAGTTTTTGTACGTGGCATTTCCTGTCTCTATTAAGAGTGCATTTGTGTGATCAGTCAATGTGCGGAAAGCCCTGAAAAGATGTTTCAGTGAAAGGACGGCCGCTTGCCAGCGAAGCCACGGAGGATCCCTCACCAGAGTCTTTGATCTCATCTGTAGGAGTGCCGTAATGTTATGGCACTTTAGACACAACTCAGGCTCGGGGCAAACAAACCACCTCTGATATGGAAAACTGGCTCACTTCACCTTTTACCTTCGTCTCGCTGTCGTCACTGTCTCTTCTGATGCCCGCACAATCACCGGATAATAACAATACTTCTCAGAGATATTCCTACTTCACATCAGACTTTCTTTGGCTTTCTTACTCTCCTTTTCCCCTCCTCCTCCTCTTTTGCATGCATATAGCATTTTACAGTGTGGGAGCTTGGAGGCCTTCCTCACCTCCTCCTAAACGTGAGACATGTGGGCTAAACCGCTTTGCCACCAAATTATACTGATTTCACTTCTGCCTGCATTGTTTTGGTAGTTTTTGGAATCCAAAGATGCTCACCGTGAGGAGACTGAGGGGCATAGCTTCAGGGTTTAGCATGTGACTTCCCACTTCACAGAACAAACGGACATTTTCAGCCTTCGAGAGATGAATGTGTGTATTTTAAACAGCCCTAGATGCAAACAGTCCTGTATAGTATAAGGCTCTAGCGTAGAAATCTAGACAAACCTTTGCAGTAGCAAAAGATTGTTCTGCTGTCTCCATTGACAGCAGGCCAACCACTGACTTGGCTAAGTTTAGGCAAGGCCAGTCACAACGCTTTATATTTGTAGAGACGTCGGACAGGCTTGGCAACATTAGGGTAGAGCTGCGATTAAGCAAAACAAAGATGGCGGCAGCTCAGCAACAACGTTTGTTTGAAATGGCTTTTGCATCAACTTTGGACGATTTAGACTTGAACTTTTCTTTGAGACATTAGCACATAGAAGTAGTTCTTCTTCTTCTTCTTCTTCTTCTTCTTCTTCTTCTTCTTCTTCTTCTTCTTCTTCTTCTTCTTCTTCTTCTTCTTCTTCTTCTTCTTCTTCTTCTTCTTCTTCTTCTTCTTCTTCTTCTTCTTCTTCTTCTTCTTCTTCTTCTTCTTCTTCTTCTTCTTCTTCTTCTTCTTCTTCTTCTTCTTCTTCTTCTTCTTCTTCTTCTTCTTCTTCTTCTTCTTCTTCTTCTTCTTCTTCTTCTTCTTCTTCTTCTTCTTCTTCTTCTTCTTCTTCTTCTTCTTCTTCTTCTTCTTCTTCTTCTTCTTCTTCTTCTTCTTCTTCTTCTTCTTCTTCTTCTTCTTCTTCTTCTTCTTCTTCTTCTTCTTCTTCTTCTTCTTCTTCTTCTTCCAGCTCAGTGGCCTAGTGGAATGAGTTTCCACCCTGAGACTGGGAGATCATTGGTTCAAATCATAGTCGGGTCATACCAAAAAATGGGGCCCAATGCCTCTTTGCTTGACTCTCAGCATTAAGGGGTTCAGTTGGGGGGTTAAATGACCAAATAGTTACAGAGCACGGCCGTGTCAGCAGCTCGCCGCTCCCCCAGGGGATGGGTCCAACGTGCAGAACAAGTTTCACACACAATGTGACAACTTATGGTGTATTTAATGGTGTATCAGTCAACGACAGCCCCGATGGCTGATATCCGTTGCTATAAATACATCACATTGTTCGTTGCTCTGATTAGTCGTAGAGCTGTCCAGTTGTGTGCAGACATTTTGAAAGACAACCATAGACTCTGCTCCTATGACTTAGCTCTGTCTATGGGTTGTGGTCAGACTATATATTTAAATTTATAGGATGGCTTGCCATGCTAATGGGGCTCTGGATACAGTATAGACGTGTGTGTGTGTGTGTGTGTGTGTGTGTGTGTGTGTGTGTGTGTGTGTGTGTGTGTGTAGCTGTTGCCATCATTGACTTAAGCTGATGCCTTTAATTGCCAAACCCTAACCCTCATGAGCTGCTTAGAGTACTTTAAAACATTAATTAATTGATTAATTAATTTATTATTTTAATTATTATATATTTATTTTTACCTGTGTCCTGTCTGGCTGTGAAGCAAACAGAATTAACGTCTGAATGCTGGTGACAAGCCTTACAGATTTACTCTCAGGTGGAGCATCAAAGCGTTTGCTTTTAATGTCACGCCTGATACTTAAAACTTTATTGTTATTGTTTTTGAATGCTTTGTAATTCCGACCAGACACAGAGACAGAGGTGAAAGAGAAAGTAAGAGACAAAAATAAACAATAATGAACAAGAGTCTGCTTCTAGACCTGCAGAAAGAGAGAAGAAAATAACAAAAAAAACAAAAAACAAACAAAAAAATGGGACACAACAACAATACAATAAAATCAAGCTATCACTGCGTCAACATGATGAAGAAATCTATAATCAACATTGTTTAACTGAACAATCACACGATAATAAATCACAGTGCATTAAGTGCCCACCACAGCCTTAAGACCTGTGTTGAACGTGCCCAAGCCCATACTTATGAGAGCACCATGTGAGCACCTGTGTGTGTACACGCGCTTGTTTATGTAAGGTTTCTCTATAGGAGCGTCCGATAGAGTGTAAGGGACCACAGATCCGTCCCCCAAAGATGCGTAGGAGACGGGGGGAGCTCCAAGTCCCAGAGATCCAGGCGCTGCCCCAGAACACAGGAACCCCAAGGAGACTGCAACCAGAAAGAACCCCGCCCCCCTCGAGAGGCACAGAGGATTGCCCTGGGGGGCCACAACCAGCAGCCGGCAGAGTCCCGGGAGATATCAGCGGCAAGCCCAAAGGCCCGCCCGCAGCCTCCCACCCCCTAGCCGGCTGAGCCCGGGACCCAGCGACCCGGGACCCAGGGGCGACCACCCCCGCCGGGGACCCAGCAGAGCCCAGGGACCCAGACTCCACCAGACAGCCACCGGGATTGATCAGGAAGACGCCAAAAATCTTAAATCCCCTGACCCGGGAGCCATGAACACTCAGGCAGACCAAGGCACCGCACTCCACACCAGGTGTGGCAGGGGGAGGGGAGACTAGGGATTGCTATTCTATCGTCTGTTTTGGACCGTGTCTTATATACTTTAGACAGTAGTTTGGGGGGTTTGAGATTATAGAAGTCTGGTGGTGTTTGTAATTCTATTTTATTGAGCTTACATTTTTGTTTGACTACAGATTTAATTTTCATTTAACATTCATTAATTTAAATTACCGTGAGTGATGTTTAGGTATAACTTAGGACAACATGGGACAGCATCCCCTCCACCCGGTGGAGGGGTCCGTGATCTGTTTGAATTTTGAGGCTTGTTAAGCCTTTTGGCTTGGAGTTGTTATTAGATTTCTGGGCCTGTTGTTTAGACCCATTGTTGCGGTTATCATTTTTACGAGTCCCTGATGCAGTCCCTTCGAGTCGGAGCGTGGCAGGGTCTGCCCCCACCGCCAGAACCGAAGGAGCGTGGGGATTTCTATGTCCCATTAAAATGTTTCATTTCCGTAAAAACATCATCATACTAACAGTCAAGCATGGGGGTGGTGGTGTGATGGTTTGGGGCTGTTTTGCTGCTTCAGCACCTGGAACCATGAATTCTCCTCTCCAGCAGAATCTCCTAAAGGAGAACATCTAACCTCTGACCTTACATGCTGCGAACTTTTCCAGTGTGGCTGAATTAAAAACAATTCTGAAAAGACGAGTTTAGCAAAATTCTTCCAAAGTAATGAAAGACTCATTATCAGTTATCATTTGATTAGTTGTTGCTGCCAAGAAGGTCACAGCGAGGTATTAGGTTACGGGGCAAATACTCATATAAGGTCTGGTTGGTTTGGTTTTTTAACAGCAAGCTGCAGACAGGTTAGAATGTTGACGTTTGAAAACTTTAAAATAAAAATAAAAAGTGTCTCTGCTTGACAAAAAAGTCATTTGTGCTTTTCTCCATAAAAGAACAAAACAACAAGCAACTAGAAAAGAAAAAAGCAAATTAGCAGCTTGTTTTTTCCTTTATGTGCTGTTATCTTGGTGCAGAGCGTAGGACTATAGCGCTATTCACTGATTCAATGAACTCTTCAGCAGATTTCCCAAAAGTCTGTCTTCATTTATCGCTCTTTAAATATTCTTTGATTTGACTTCAGAGTTTTCAAAAACATTTTGGTTCTGAAAATGTTAAAATAGATCCCAAAATTTTGCTCAAAGGAAGATTTCTACTGTCTTCATTTGTTGCCAAAAGGGGGGAAAAAAATTCATTCACACTTATAATTTAATAATTCATCAGTTACCTTGGATCGTAACAATAGATATGCTGATTATTATCCCAATCAAACAAAAACAATAAAAGATCATAAAAAATGATAAACACATGAAATAAACGCAGGGATTAGGATTGAAACGATAAGACACTTTTAGTTTAGAAGTGTCTGCAGGCAGGTGGGATTCAGTAGCCGATGTTAGAGGTGAATTACAGAAGTAGCAGCATTTCTTTGATAGAACAATACACAAATGCATATTGGCAGGTTTCTAGATACTAACAGATGGCTGTCAAACAAATAAACATCCAGGACATTTGTTAATAATAAAATTAGTAGAATTATGCTTTAAACAACCAGAATAAGACCTTTTCTGTACATGATCTTTCCCAGGAGAACCAGAGAAGTGTTCCCCAGCCAGTGGAGGTGCTCGTGTGCTGCCTGAGATCCACAAGAGACAAGCTTCCCAGGGGTCTCTACTCTGTCAGTGTGGCCCTTCACCGGCCCCTGGGGGGCCCAGCTCTGGCCTTGTGGAGTGAGAGAGGCCAGCAAATCTGGGCAGTGTCCACCGAGCCGACGGAGCACCGGGGCCGCTTCTACGACACGGACCTGCACTTTAACCAGAACCTGTTCATGGTACTCACAATTTCCTTTTGTCAGTTTGTTAATGAACAGGAAATGTGAGGTAAATTAAATTCAACTTAAAAATCACTTCAAAAAGGAAAAACTTTAGGATTACACATATAATATGTATCCAAGAAATCTGGTTGCTAAAGAAAAAAATCTGTTTTTGAAGATGAACAGATTTCTTTCAGTAATATGGAGGATTACGACTGATAAACGGCAGGAAAAGCTACCAGTTTGCACTGTAGACAGGTAAAAAGTTCTGGTACACTTAAGGGTACCGCTACTGTGTCCCAGTCCATTTAAAGTAACACTGAGCAGTTTCCTGCTGCCCGCCCTACTGGTTGAAAGTGGAATTACAGCTGTTGTGAACAACCCTGCAGCAGCCTGCTGTAGCTAGTGCTAACAACGAGCTAACGCTACCATGAGCCAGCTAACACTAAAATAAACCACGAAGTAAAAAGATCCACACTGCTGGAGAAAAAAATATTACTTACAAGTCAAGTAGCAACAAAGCTTAAAGTTTAAAAACTGTCTATTGTTACTTTAAAGCACTGGTTTAATCTTCTCTAATCTAAAATATTCGCTTTTTACTTTATGTGAATAAAACTGCTAATTTGTAAACATGACATTTAATTCGTGCTCAGAATTCAAACCAAATACCCGCTGTTCATTTAGGTAACGCAGTCTTTTCTTTATGCCCTGCGATGGACTGACTCTCTGTCCAGGGTGTACCCCATCTGATTGCCCATTGACCGCTGGAAATAGGCACCAGCCCCCCCCGCGACCCTACGTGGACAAAGCGGGTTCAGACAATGGATGGATGGATCCTTCCTTTAGCTAAATTTAAACACATACTGAAGGAAAGCGGTTTTAATTGCCTTTGAGCGTCTGAGTTGAACAAAGTGAAGCAACAGCAAAGTAACAAGCTGCAAACATCGACAAATGCACTGCAGAGTTACAGAATCTACATTTCTTTTGCACAATAGAAAAATAAATACGTTTTCCCGTTCTGGCTTTTGAAGAACCAATGCAGCGGATTATTTAAGATGAAATCTGTCCAGATTTCACATCAACTTCTTTAAACCTCTTGATATGAAGGAAGCCATCCTCTTCACATAAGCAGCGCTAATCTCAGCAGCCCACAGACTGATTCTGGATGGCTGACATTGACCGGTGGATTAGAAATCTTTGGTTCTGTTCACATATTGAATTTGCACACAGGACAAAAGATTCTCAAACCTTAAAACAGAAGCGCTTGAATTCAAGTGTCCTTCCTGATCCCATACAGGCCTGTATAGGCTCACGTCTCTGATGGCAGCAAAGGCCCGTTTGGAGCGTTCAGTGCGCGTGGACACTGTCAGCATGCTGGTGGGTGTATTCACTCAGCTCAGGCTTTCTCACAATATTGTCTCCGGCTTCTATCTGACAGAAAAGGATGGGTGAAAGCTGGCATGAACTGAATACAGACCTGGGATCTGATTCAGATGTATAAAAACCGGTTTAAGTAAGGCATAGTAAATGCCTCGTGTCACTCTGATTTCCCTCCACTCCTCCTTAATTTCTGAGCTGTGCTTTATAGACAAACCAGCTGTTGTTATTCTCACTGACAGCACAGGAAAGGCTGATCAGATTTGTGCGAGACCACTTGCTTAGCCCCCCCTCTCTCTCTCTCTCTCTCTCTCTCTCTCTCTCTCTCTCTCTCTCTCTCTCTCTCTCTCTCTCTCTCTCTCTCTCTCTCTCTCTCTCTCTCTCTCTC